GGACTGGGATTTTGCCAAAATTTCAGGTGGGAAATGGGATTGGGACCCCCCTTCAGGACCCTCAATAAACTAATACTATTGTAATTGTTATCATGATGTTAATGTAATTATCACATGGCGTAGAATTCGCGGTCATAAATGCTATAGAATTTCACTGGAATACTTATGATTAAAAGCCTTTTTTGGCTAAAGAAAGTACCAGCTGAAAATTGTACTGTATCTGAAATAGAAATATGAGGCTTAATTATCAAAAAGTGATTGGCTCCTGCAGTTTTTCAGGTTGCAAAAGCGCGACTGTTTTATTCCTTTTCTAGCAGCGAACTCACATCAAAGACCCCAAAATATCGACTGTTTGAGGCAACAACACTAATTTCACGAAGGGTACCACTCGGAACATGTAGGCCCTGTAGGGTTTTATGTAGTAACCTTAAAGCCATAAAAATTGTTGATGGTTTGTGCGGAGGGAAGATGTGGTTATTTAAATACTGCATGTATTTTATTGCGAAAATATAACGCGAAATTCTCTTTCCTGAGTTTTCGCCATTGCTCAAGTAACTTGCCGGTATGAACCCGAAGACACAATCAAAGGACAAGGGAAGTACAAATTAATTAGCCCCCCCCCTTTGGGAAAAGATTTGTTGACCATTCTACATTACGAATTATATGCCATGAGTTACCAATAATTGTGTCACCAAAATTGTTTATCTAGAAACCAAATATTATGTAAATACCCATAGGCAGCCCAATGTTATGGTTGCCGGCCTGTGCGCGGGCGAGGCATTGTATAGTTATAAACCAGTAACATTGGGTGCCTATGAAATACCCAGAAAAAATTGAATCACAAAGTATCCTTTGTACGACTATGTCGATATCGATATCGAAAATATCAATGAGAAAATAGTCAGTATTGTATCCATTATAAACTCCCAGTATCGCCCATGGATGAGAAGACAGAAAGTAAACAGACTTAATTTATGCATTTAAATATTTAATTCGACACAACGATACACGACGTCGTCGCAGAATAAGATACACCGTACACAGAAGGTCGACTTCTTTGTTTTTCCTATGATTGTCCTATGATTTTGGCGTAACCGTAATTCGTCATCAAAATGCTGACGCCATGGTCCTAGCCAGTGCGCGTTTGAGAGGCATTCGCCCCCCTGATATTATTCAAATTGGCAGACTTCCAGGGAGGAATGCCTCTCAAAGGCTAGGGCCATGGCGTCAGCATTTTGATGATGAAACATGGCGTGGCAGCGGTTACTCGAGTCGACCTTATGTGTGCCTTATATTCTGTGACGCCGTACAGTATGAAACGCGCCACAGACATTGTATTCGTCTGACCATGACGGATAAAACGTCTTGGACGAATTTAATTCATCAGACGAATTTAATTCGTTTCATACGATGCGCTACCGTCGCATTTAATTGATTAATTCGTTCAATTAAATTCATCTGAATTAAATTCGACGATAGTGTGACGTATGAGACAGGCCTATTAAAGTGGTAGTTTCATTTGCTCCTAGTCTATTAACTGTGATTTGCTATTTTACCTCTTTTTCCTCGTGTGTGTGCAAAAAAGGGGAAGGCATCTTGCAACTTCGTTTCGTTTGTTCCCATTCCTTTATAGTAACTTTCATAACATGTTGTTGCTTGCGTTTACTATCCACTGTTTTGTTGTGTTTAAACAGCGTACCATATGAAGTATTTCGATTTAATAATTAATATAATATTAATTATGCGTGCAAAAGGTTTGAACTTAGGAATACGGAAGTACGAGGTTGGCTACAGGATTAAGTCTAAATTATTATTGTAATTTAAAAATTTTAGGTTTATTAATATTACTCTGAGTGTATATCCACACCGGGCAGGCTTGAAAAACATGCCTGACCACTGTGGGATTCGAACCAACGATCTTTGGAATACATTACACCAACACAGCAAAGTATCATGATTATTACACTGATATCGAAGAGACTAGACTCAGTTCCGAAATATCGCATACTCGAACCGACCTGACCGCGTAGCTCAGTTGGCAGAGCATTGGGCTAGTATTCCAAAGGTCGTAGATTCGAATCCCACCGTGGCCAGGCATGTTTTTCAAGCCTGCCCGGTGTGGATATACACTCAGAGTAATACCACACAAGCATCTTATTCACCTGAGTACATTGAGGTCGGCTATATTGCGAATCTGCAAGTTGCGAGTCTGCGAGTTGCGAGTCTGCGAGTTTACGGTGTGGATTTATTGCCTCGAAAACGCTCACTTAAGTGTAATTTTGTGTGCTTTGACGAATTGATCTTATATTTTATACTTTGACAGACAGACTCGTTTCGCTTTTTCGAATTTCTCAAATTTTGGCGCGAAAATGACGTCATCGTTTTGGCGCCAATATTTTGTTTAAGTGTTAAGACTTCCTTTGTTAATTTTTCTAAAATAAGAGGCTATATTATCTTCTAAACCGAAACAATAATTGAATTATCTTAATTCAATCAATAGTTATAAAGGATGGAATTTTCAGATGTGGGCTATTTTGGGCTATTTTTAGTAACAAAATGGCCGAAATCTGAACGTTCCATCCGTTATAACCATTGAACTATAAATAAACTGGAAGGCTAACTCAGGGGGGGAAATTGAAGCCAGTGCATTTTAGTTTTTCTGAGTTATGAGCAGAAATACTCAACACTGAACGTTGGGCTATATATCAAATTAAAGCTATTGAAAAACTCTATTTGGTGTAGAAATTTCAAGACTTTAGCTAAAAGGGAAATATTGAAAAACTACAAACATAATTACCGATAATTTGCCGTTTTGCAGTTGTTTTTGTATTTTTTAAATATTTTTCTTTTCGCTGAAGTCTTGAAATTTCCACACCGAATAGCAATTTTCAATAGCTTCAATTTGATATATAGCCCGACGTTTGGGGTCAAGTATTTCTGCTCATAACTCAGAAAAACTATTTTGGCTTCATCAAATCATAGGCCTTCATCATAGCAGTTAGCCTTCCAGTTTATTTATAGTTCAATGGTTATAACTCTTGATCGAATAAAGATAATTCGATTATATTTTCAGTTTTGAAGTTTACACAACATATAACTTTTGAAAAATTAACTAAGGAAGGCTTACCACTTAAACAAAATATTGGCGCCAAAAGGAAGACGTCATTTTCCCGCCAAAATTTAAAAATTCGAAAAAGTGAAAAGAGAGCATTTCTTAGAATGAAAAGATCTGTCAAAGTATAAAATATAAGACCAGTTTGTCACAAAACACACAAAATTACACTTAAGTGAGCGTTTTCGACGCAACAAATCCCCACCGTAAACTCGCAACTCGCAGACTGGCAACTCGCAGACTGGCAACTCGCAGACTCGCAACTCGCATATTAGACAAACTCGAGTACATTACACCAACACAGCAAAGTATCTTTATTAATATTGTTTGAGACTTTGTAAAATTATTTACTTTCAGATCGAATAAAAAAACTAGATTTAATATACGGTTTACCGCCCTCAACTTGACGTGGTCAAGACCAACTATGAATGTTTCTTCGTTAAAACTGACACGTTGCTAAGGACAAATGTCAGTGCTACCAAGTGCAAAGGCGCGAACATGTCCAAAGGCGTGGTTTTAGTATTACACTGAGCTTCCTGCCACACATGTTTTTGAAGTTTATTGGCTATAAGCTGTATTGTGAAATATATTGTTAAATTGCCAAAGCTGAAGACAGTTGATGATGAAACATTAAAATGTGGCATACCGGAAAAACAGGACGCGGGACGAAGGACTCTTAGGACCCAGGACCATGATTGTCCGTGAGGACCTTTCTACGTAGGACTGCATGAGGACCCTTTGTATTTGAACTGTATGAGGACCATTTGCATGAGGACCCTTTCAAAAGAACTTGCAGAATTTTGAAAACAGAACAAAAATTTGAATTGCCTAATTTGCACGTGGCAGTCATGCTGGACCAGTAGGATTCAATGATACACAGGTAAAAACGCACAACTTGTTAACAAGCCTCCAGCAGTGCTATGCTACCCGAACAACTTGTCAACAGGATGTATTCGCAGCAACCTTGTAGCAAGGTGTTCGACAACTTGTTACAAGATTGTTGGTTTATCAAGGTGTGCAAGGTTGTACAAACTTGTACCAAGCGTGTTGTTTCAAGAAGGTTGTTACAGGTTGTCAACAAGTTCGTAACAACGTGTCAACAAACCTGGAACAAGCAGTGCGAACACAACCCATATGGGCATTCACACGTCGTAGGAGCAGCACTAACAAGTCTGCTGCAGGTTTGTTACAAGTTGTGCGTTTTTACGTGTGTATAATTGAATCCTACTGGTGCAGCATGACTGCCACACGCAAGTTAGCCAATTAAAATTTTTGTTCTGTTCTCGAAATTCCGCAAGGTTTTTTTTTGTCCCCATCGCCCTAAACGGAGGCACTGAAATGTTTTTTTTGAAGTTCGCAGGATCCAAATCCGTGAATCTTCCAGTTTCTAGATAGTGTAGGGAGCCAGCTTAAATAATTGTTCAGTTTTGTGAACAGGTGGCTGATGGTGTTAGGATGCTGTTCCTATTACAACCGTGTTAAATCCCATCACGCGCGCTAAGTACCAGAATGACTAACTTGCACAGCAGTGTTTGCTGTTAAATAAGTGTCATTTAGTTTTCCAAGAACAATTGACAGATGCTGTTAGGCAACTGCTTCTAACCACTAAGTTGAGCTCCATCAGGCAGGGCTAGTATACTAGGATGAAGCTGAAGCAATACCCTCTACATTAACAGGAATATTTAATGCATCTATAAATACCAGTGTTTTTCCTAATGACATCAAGACTGCCATCATTTCACCAATTCAAGGGTTGCCGTTTGCAAAGATTTGTAAATAATAATGATAATAAAATCGGATGCGTGATAAACATGTACAGCGATGTAGCGATAAAGAGTAGGGTCCACACCTAATTGGCTAATTAGAGTCTTATTTTTTGCAGGGTCAAATGGAATGTTCCTATTGCCACGAGACAACTGCATTGAAACACTGTGCTGCGTGTAAGCTAGCTTACTACTGTGGCGTCAGTTGTCAGAAACGCGACTGGAAACATCACAAACATTACTGCAGAATCTTAGACACTGTCTTGACGAAAAAGAGTGCGGAGAATCGCGGAGACGAGGTAGGCTAGATTGGAGTCGATTTTATATGTTTGTACATGCAATTGTACTCCTTCACGTTCTAACTAATTTATTTTCAAGTTATTGAATGAATACCTTCTAGAAAACAAACTGTTGAAGGGTTATTTCAAGTGAACATTATGTACCTTTTTTACATATAATATTAAGCATTCATCTATTGAGTTAGTTAATTCTATCCTGACTTTTTGAAAATTGTCCTTTATACTTTATACTTTATCTTAAAGACTAAGTACACCTTAAGTCTTACGTTTGTGCCAGCTCAAGTACGCGGCAATAATCATTGGGGTATCAGGCAGGTACTGCACGACTAAAAATCTTGAATTATCGTACCCCTCATTCCCAATGTAGTTGTTTAAGACTGATTAAAACAAGCTATATCGGACGTCCGGGCACTACGGAAGTAGGGCTAGCATGCGCGATTAACGCGTTATTTCTCACTTCTCAGCGCTGAGGTTAAACCCTGTGAGATAGGGTTAAGCCTTGGATGGGTGGATCAAACTCTATGCTGAGCGTGCATGCCAATTATTTCAGCAGATGTGTGGTTGACTCTCTCCTGTGCTTCGAGAGATTTCCCGGTGCGAGGCAATTGTTTTGTTGGAAGGAAAAAATGACAAATTTATGACAATTATTCTATCCGATTAACGTTTTTGGGGGGACTGATATAAAAAGCAGCATTTTGTCTTCGTGTAGAGGAATTTATATAAAATTAATTTGCTCATGACTATGAAATTGCGCTGCGAAGGGGTGACATGTAAACATGCTCAACCATAATTTGCTTGCGAAAATGTAATCACTAATCACTTCAACTAGAACGGGCATGTTAACCTTCCTTTGAACAAAACAACTGCCTCTCACGAAAGCCATTTCGTTCGAATTACCGTCATTCATTTCGGGCACCACATACATTTATCTATAATGCAAGTGGTCTATTATGTAGTTAATTCTAAGGGCTCACTAGCTGTCATGCGATTGAGTTTTTGTTTCTGTCTTTTATTAAAGTTATAAGACAGCCTTCTTATTTTATTGAAGGGGAAAATGAAATTTGTTTAATTCATAAACAATGCCAGTTAACAATAAAAAAAAACAACATCTCTTAAATAATGACTCTCTAATCTAATACTTTTGAAGAGCAGTTGAACTGAATGCTGATGTGTGTTTTGCCTATCTTGTGTAGTTACAAAAAGAAAATGGACAAAAATTTGAGGAAGTCATTAAGAATTATCTTAGTGACAAGAAGTGGGACGAGGCTGAACAACTTTGTGTGGAGAATATTAAAAACTTGGCTGGTGCCAGAAATCCAGCTATGGCAAACGCGTTTCTTCTGCTAGCTGAAATAGTTTTTGGAAAATCAGATCGATCTGACTTAGGTTTGGTAGAGAAAAACAACAAGATGCTGGAAGCTACGGCGTTGTGCCATTACGTTCTGAACCTGTGCAAGTTGGGGTCTTCTTCATCAAACGTGGATTTTTCCGAACCAGAAAACAAAGCTACAGAGAGAATCAAGACTTTACAAGATGCATTGTTCTTGTCAATGGACATAGATGTTGCTGAAGGCCAAAAAGCATTTGACAAGATAAAAAAAAGCATTTGACAAGATAAAAAAACACCAGGTTTATCTGCAGGAAACCAGGAATGGTTTACGTGTAGGTCTACAGTCGATGCCAAATACGAGTCAGGATGACTTGAATGAATACGAACATTATCGAAAAATCCAGCAGTTGTACAAAGTTGTTGCTGAAAGGCTGGTAAGTCTTGTATCTGAAATGTTGGACGATTGTGTGACTCTCTTAGGCTCATCACCATGCCATTATGCTGCGATAGCATTAGGTTCTCTGGCCAGACTGGAGGCGACACCGTTTTCAGACCTCGAATGGGCCATTCTGATCGAAAACGAGGACGAAAAACACAAGGTCTACTTTCGGAAACTGACACAGCTCGTTCATTTGATGGTGATAAGCTTTGGCGAGACAATCGTACTGAGCATGGGTATACATTGCTTGAGGTCTTGGTTTTATGATGACGTCACGCCACGTGGCTTTGCCTTCGACGGGGCCTTACCACAAGCTTGTAAGACACCTCTGGGTAAACGAGAGAAAGACGGAACTATAGTGTACGAGCTCATCGGCATTCCTGAGGAAATCTCGAAATTCCAACGATTGGAGTGGGTCAAAGTGAATCCTCAACTTGCGGGGGTACTGCGAACAGTTCTCGTTATCACTCGTGGCGAGAAGGCCGTGGAACTCGCACGAGATTACAAACTGTGTTTGAACGAGGAGCTGGATAGATTAGTCGCGCAAGAAGGAGATATTCTGTCCAGAGAGAGAAAGATGAGAGAAACTTTAGCGCTTTTGGAATTGGCCAGAGATTTCGATGTATTCAACCCACGCCTTGGTCAAGAGGATCAAGCGGGGAGGTTTTTCGAGGTTAAGAAAGAGATTTATCGCTTAATGGACAGACTGGTGGCCAGTGTTGGTCTGTACTTCAACGCATGCGCACAAAGCGCCTGGGAATGCCTCGAGTGGTTACATAAGGAGAACTTTCTCAGCGAAAGGGGCATGCGGAACCTGTTTGTTGCCTTCAGCATCGGAGCCGAGCTGCGAGCCAGGGCCTATACAGAAGGAGGAAGACAAGATGATTATCTGGATTGTCAGGCATTCGGTGACGTTTGTGAGTTTGGCTTGGATGCTGAGGTTCACGCATTGGGTTTGCCACCTGTGCAGACGTTATACAGGTACTACCTTACCGTGCTTCCGTTTTTGTCCCACACGTGGCTAAGTGCGTTGGGCGCACCTAATACGAGTTTAGACCATATGAGAGACGAGGATTTCTATAGTGATTTACCTAAATATCGCGCTCTGATTAGTATGCGGCTCAGGCAGCACAAGAAGGCAAAAATCGAGCTACAGAAGCATCTCATGGCTTATCCCGAAGATCAGGAATGCCTTACGGGTCTTGGTAATGTGTTGAAGATTTTCCAGAAATTTCAAGAGGCTTTTTTGTGCCACTACAGGGCGCTTCATTATCTGTTATGCTCCGGTGATTATGTCTGCAACGGTAAACAGCTGCGTTCACTTGATCAGGTAACCAGCTGGCGAGAATTCGTCCAACCACTCAAGTCCAGCATGAATACAACCTTGGCGTTCCACTGTCTTCGAGTTCACTTATATAATCTCGGGATATGCTACAGGAACATGCAACAGTACCTCAAAGCCGCTGACTGCTTAGAGTGCTGCGTCGAGCTTTATCGCGAAGGCTTGGGAACTCTTGAGGATGTTCACGGTCTCGCACGAACCCTAAATGTCCTGGCTTGTATTTACAAAAACGATGGCAGCGATACAGACGTTGGTTGCTTGCAAGAGGCGCTTGATCTCTATGCTAACTCGGGATCTTTCGTGACCAGTTCGGCTGAAGCAACAACCAAGTTCAACCTGGCATCATGGTATCACAGCCGTGGCCAATTTCACCGCGCAAAGACAATCCTCGAAGAAACTGTCAACCAATCCTCGTACGCGTATGGCAAGAGCGATAACCCCGAAACCCTTCGTGCAAAGTTCCTCCTTGGTGAAGTATACATTTGCCTACAATGTTACCACGAAGCCGTTAAAATTTTAACAAGCTGTATAAAATCATTGGTCAAACCTTTCAAGCACGGTTGCTTGATTAAACGATGTGACGTCGAACCTTTTCTTAAAATAGCTCTTACTGGCGTCGGGCTTCTGGAGTCAGATTCAGTCGACGTTTCAAAAATCGACCTTGCCGAAATCTTGGAGAATTCCCAAGATAAAGAAGGTGTAGCCGTGCCGATGTTGTTTTTGGCTGACTTCTGCCTGCGTTTACAAAAACCCAATCCCGCATTTGCGCTCGCTGAGAAATGCTTGAGCGTTCTACGAGAGCTTTATGGTGAAACGGCGAATCACACTAACTTGACGACAAACTTGGGCATTCTCGGTAGGTCGTGTTTTGCGTCAGGAAAGCCAGACATGGCGGTAGTTTTTTTTACGCAAGCGCTAGAAAACCACCACGAAGTTTGCAAGAAAAAAGGGGAAGGAACTGACGCAGACAGAAGTGTCGAAATCGGTTTGCTAACCTCCTTGGGAAATGTTTACAAGGCACAAGAGTCGGTTCAGGAAGCGCTTCAATGCTATCAGAGGTGTTTGGAGATACAGGGCCCTATTGCAGATGATAAGAGTGTGGTTCTGACACTATCTAACCTTGGAAACACGTACTGTTTACTGGGTATTCTAAGCAAAGGCATTCTATTTCTCGAAATGGCTTATGATGGTGTGAAGAAGATTCTTAGAGAAAACGAACCACAGACGGTGGTAAATGCTAGCGTTCTGTCGAACCTGACCCGTTCGTTGTGCACGGCATTAATGCAGGGTGGGCAATACGACAAAATAAAAGAGATCACCGATGAATCGGATCGACTCATGAAATTGGTACCAAAAACGAAACCATTACGAATTAAACAATAGTATCGTTTGTCGGATCCAATTCCGCTTTCGAAACGTCTTCCTGCGGTTTCAATAGACTTGACTGCAAAGCATGGATTCGAATTAATTTGTATATTTAATTAAAGTATGAATTAAAGTATGCTAATAGGTACGTGTCGAGAAAGAGTGAAACATGTCTAATTCATTTAAGAAAAACAGTATTTCTGCTAAATTATATAGTGTTAAGTTGGTCTTATAAATAAAATAATAAATTGATGAACAGAAATTAATCAGTGGGCTTTTTTCTAGATTGATTAATTTGGCTAGGTTTTTTGCCACCGAAGTAGCCTGCGTAGCAGCTCCTCATCTCCCGCCCGCACTAAACGCCTGCTACGCAGGTTACCAACGAAGTTGCTATCGTGGGGGGTTTTGTCGTCCTTATCAGTCAAAACACGCGCCAAGGGATGAAGTTTCCATTTACTTTCCAAGCATGCATGGAACACTAGCGCGAGGAGGACATTGTATTTAACACTGGTACGCTCTTAGGATATGCCACCAAGATCTGGTCACCAGTCTATCAACCATTTTGCAACATTGGTTCAAAGACGTGCCACGAAATTTATTCTCAATCGGCTGTTTTCCAGTCCAGACAGTTACACCTCGCGTTTACAGTCTTTATCATTACTTCCACCATGTTACTGGCATGAATTTTTGGATTTGGTTTTTTTCTTTGAAATGGTGAACAATCTGGTAATCATAGAACCTTCTGTAGTACCCAAAACCCGCAGCGCCAGACCGACCAGATCGTCTATAAACACGGACAAGTTTGTCATTCCCAGGAGCAAAACAACGACGCATCAACGCTCATTTCTAATTCGAACAACCAGAGTGTGGAACAATCTAGCTGACGAACTGAAACTTAACATGATAAATTTGAACTCATTTAAATCTACCATCCTAAGTTATTACTTCCGTGCTTTGGAAATTTCCTACGATCCTGAAAATCCAAGAACATTCAAAACTATATGTACCAAGTGTAATACCGCTCGAACTCTGGTTCAGCCTCTTATGTGCTGCTATTAATTATAGTTTTATTCAGATAGTTTGTATGTCCTAATTCGGCTCACGCTGTTGCGGTCACCCTGCCTATAGGTATAGGATAATGCCCAAGCTCGAGGTATTATTAAAAATAATGACCGAGCGCGTAGCGCGAGGTCATTATTTTTAATAATACCGAGAGCGAGGGTATTATCCGACTTAATGCACATTATGGTGTTTATGAACAAAGAAAACTATTAAGATAGTTACAAGTTCATTGTTGTGGTACTATTATTTTTCACACCATATTTGTGTTTTGTATGCGCATTCCTGGGCTGTGTTTTTTCAACAGCTACCTTTTTATTACTTGATTGATATTTGTGGAGTGAGGATGTCTGGTTCGAGAAAGCGAGATTTTAGTTTGTTTGGAGAAGGATATGACGATGAATTTGAAGTTGAAAAGACCAACGATTGGGATTGCGACTGTCTAGATTTGGAAGACGATGGGCTGGATGGAATACTTTCCCAGTCATTGGATTTGTTTGCAGAGCGGAGAATTTCACTCATGGGCGTACCGGAAGGAAAAAATTAGGGGGGCGGAAAGAAAATTGCCCGACTTTCCGAATTCTGCCCGACTAGTATCAAAAAAATTTTCCCTGAAAAATTATTTTGGCGAACTCCCCCCCCCCCTGGGCCAAAAAAATTTAGGTCAGTGTACCATTTTAGGGGTCAAAAAATTTTTCCGGACAACCAATTTTTTTCGGAACATAACACAAATTTTCGAAAAATCGCAAAATTTGCCAAAAAATTGACTTCATTTTAGACAGAATTGACAGAATTTGTCCCATTTTTTTAATTGCAAGCCAAAATTGCCCGACTGTTGATCGAATATTGCCCGACTGCCCAAAAAAATGGGGGCTGCCGCCTATGATTTCACTGGAAAGGCCAAATCAGATAGACAGTGTCAGTGAGCGGCGATGTAATGCACCTGGGAAAAGCACGTTGGATAGAAAAGGTGAAAATTGTCTTAGCTAAGTTTTGTTCATCCTCGTTCCCAGGGCTTCTCGGCTGTCTGCGTTGCCGTAAGCCCTGGGACAAGCCAAACCGGAACACCACAAATTCTGGTGTTTTCCGGAAGTAAACGCGTTCTGCTGCCAATCTCGTTCCCCGAGCCTGCGATCCTTGGGAAGGAAACGAAGGCTCTGGGATAATCCGAATCAGACATACAGAAAACTGTATGTCGACCGAACTGCGCATGCGTTGGCAAAAGCAAAACAAATTGTTTGAAATATTTTATTCTTTCGTCTATAAAATGATTATTTTTTCGGGGTTTTGGTGGAAATGTTGATGTTCTTCATAGTGAGATACAAAAGGTGTGTTAGCGACTGAATATGGAAAATATTGCGTGTGAAACAGGGTCAGTATAGAGCCGGCAGGAGCCGCGAAGAGTGCTGCGCTGTTGTCGACGAAAAATGTCACAAATTATTAATTGTAATCTTGTCCATTCACCTCTGTGTCGGTTTGAAAAAGCTTTAAATGTAGAGACATTTGTGGTTCCTCCAGCATAATTTAGCCGTTTAACGCTATTATGTTTCTAATGGTTGAAAGAGCGCATGGAAAGGGCAATTTACAAAAACAATTTGCAAATATGTACTCTGTGTTGATATATTTTGCTACTGTAGTATTAAAATACCTGAAAAGAGTCTCAATTCTAATATTAAGTCGGTTATAAACCTTGATAATATTAAAGTTTTCAGAAGATTTGTATATCAGAGGAATATTAAAAGGAATTTAGACTTATAAAACATATCATTAAAAATATGAATATAGTGAATTCCATCTTTATATTGTGTTATCATCTCTAGAAATAAACAGTTTATAAACCAAATCCTTGTTATATTTTTTAACTGCCCTTATAGCTTTCCTTATACATATGTTTTAATATCTGCCAGCAGTTTAGCAGGTTAGGGATGCAACAGCACTTTTCAAATTATTGAATTATAACCAAATTTTGTGTCTGGATAGGAATTACTATTAAAGGGGAAGTCAAGTCCGTAATGTAAACAAATGGTTTGTTTACATTTTGAACTGCTGTATTTTTTAAAATATGATGTACTGTCGGAATATCTAACAGCATTTTGATTCGCTATGCTTCTAAATGAATATGAAATAAAGTTTATGTTCAGAAAAATTCGAAACATTTGAAATTTGGGCAATTTTCACATTAGAGGTCCTCACATTGTTATGCGCAGAACCGATGCGCAGAACCGATGCGCATAACGGACTTGACTTCCCCTTTAAAGATTTACAGTTTGTAATGATAGAGTTGGAGCAAGTTAAGCTGCAATGTGCCTCAGTTTGCCCTACTTTGTTATTTTAAGCTGTTTAACACCAGAATTTTTTCTCGTTAAGGGGAAAGTATTGGACTTGGTATTTGAATGGGTTAGCCAGTCCATCTGCATGTCTACCTATCTTTGGTTAATTATCTCATTAGATCATTAAGCCACAATGCTCTTTAGTGCACCCAATTTTGTTATTTCACTGTACTTCTGGACAATATTTCTCATCAATGGCCGGAAATGTACTTGACTTCATGTTGATTACTGCCATTAATTAATTAACTACTGTACTAAATAGGACATTCAAGGTTGGAGATATAATAGCAATAGAGGTTGCTATCATTGTAGCATTCAGGGGCGTCGCTAGTCCAAATGGATCGTTCCAGAAAAGATCCATACTCCCCCACGGAGGAAATTTCTGCCGTCCGGAGGAGGAGGGGAGAAAAAATTGTTTCTGATAATAGTAAATGTAGTAGCCATCCGAAGGGGGTAGGGGAGTTAACTTCCAATTTCCTCTGTGGGGTGGTATGGATGTTCTCTGGAATGACCCAATAGTCAGGCATTTGGCAATTTATTGTATCGCAATCGGGAAATCCAGCATGATTTGAATTGGATAGGAATGGAAAAAACTGAAATATATGAGTTTTTGTTGCCCCTCCCCTTCTCAGAGTAGGTATGTGTTGTTTTATAATGTAAATAACAAGTTTTGATATTGCAATCAAACTGACAGGGTAATTGTCATGACCATGGTAATAAAAATATTTCTATGGCTCGGCATTTATATTGGGCAATTTTTTATCATTCATCACAAAATTATACCTGCACCCTAGGTGGTTCCCTGCAGGGGGTCATAACCAGGGGGAAGCTGATGAAAATGAATTCTGGTGTTGGTGGCTGATCACTATCATTTAATATTTTTGTGAATAGAGTTTTCTTAAAAAAAAGTATATGAATTTATTAAAAATATTTATATGGTCTGCCAATCTGGAATTCATACTTTGTAACATTTGGATCAAAAGGTTTATGACGTTTTCTTGGACAGAATCCAATTAATACAACCTCGTACAGAGGGCAGGGCTTCTTTGAATTACTGTGTGGACAAGATTAACAAAGGGATTGCCAATTTGGCATATTGTACTACTCAATAAATTAAAATCATTAAATACTTTATGCTACAATTAGCTGTAATATTATACTGTATATTATTGTGTTTCATATGACATCATAAATTTGATGGGGGGTCAACTCTAAATCGAGACACAGTCATCAGAGTGAATTAATTTTTCACTGTATGTATTGGCCTTGTGTTTGGTGGCAAATACATGCAATTTCATATCATTTGCTCACTATAGTACAGCATATTAGCATGAATACATTTTAGGTTATAATACTGCCTGTGAAATTGTGGTTTATTTAGAGAATAAAGGTTTTTTGAACTCTTCTATGAATAAATTATAACAGCAAAAGATTCATATGCACCCATATAGGGAAGGGTTACATGCTATAAGTTAAAATGAGTATTACATACTCCTGCACTTGAAAAGTTTACAGTACAGTATATACATTAAATAATAAAATATATAACAGTAAATCCCAAGATTGGATTTATTGAAACTAGTCATTAGCTAGTTCTTCATTATTAAAGTAATCATTAGCTAGTTCTTCGCAATTAAATAACACAAAGACAAATTAATAAAAGTTATTAACCATTTCTGACACAAATAGTATTTGCCAAATATAGCACATATTTGATCTCGTATTTGATATTATAGTCAAATAGTACAGTGTACTGACAGTACTGTATACTATGTATAGATTAAAAAGACAGAAAACCTGTACAACACAAATATGAGTAAAGTTTTCACGCTTCATTTAACTGTTGTGATATTATACGCATTAAGTATACGTTTCTTTGCATTTCTTTCGTAGTATTAGTATATAGCACAGCTCTGAAACACCAAAACAATATTCGTACACTCCTAAACGGCCGCCATGTTGTATATAAAAATATACGGTTAAAAATTAATTTTTGCAAAATTGCAACATTCCATTGTATACCAGCAACCAATCATATTAATTTCTGAG